CAAGAAGTGTTTCTTAAGTTTTAAGATAAACTCTAAAATCTCAGTATGTGTTGATGCAAGTTGCTGAAACATGTTCTCTCCCACCTGCCAGTCCTCCCAGCAGACATTCAGATGTGGTACCAAGAGCTGGACATGGAGATTTATTGATGCAGCTACATTTTTAGGTGATGGAGAGGGACAAAAGGGACAGAGCTTGTCTTCCAGAATTTTAGAAATAATAAAACCCCACACTCATTATCTATTTCTGAACATACCTGGCCAGTTATGTATAGCAAAACACTAGGGAACACCATGGGGGAAAAAAGAATGCTTTCCAGAGTAACATTAGAAAAAGTTTTACTCGCCAGTAATTCATTACTTTTGTTACAACATTTTCAGATGTAAGTCTTCTTACATCTCTTATATTGCAGCAGAAATCTTGTGTACTTAACATTTCGACTTCCTCTGAGATGAAAGAGTATTTTTTTAACAGACATAGCTGTTGATGCCAGAAAATTTTGTATGCTTACTAAATTTAAGTCTTAGAAAGTAATAAATACCAGGTAGTGAAAAAGGAACAGGGAAAACAAACAATCTTAATTCTGGAAATAAGTTATTTCAGAAAATTCCAAGTAATCAGAAGGAACTCTTGGTAGAAGTTTTTATGTTTGCTTGTGGTTTTTGAGCTGCAGTGTCTGTAGGCCAGACTGGACAATGAGACCAAATTGTCCAGCCTGCTCTTTTTTTGCCTTGGAGAAGGCAATGTACTTGGCAAGAGAGGACGTGGAGCTGCAGGCACTCAATCCCTGCTGGGGAGGCTTGGGTGGAACTGCCACTGTGGCTTCTGTCTGGCCCAGCAGCTGGGATCATGACACTGGTGTGGGTGCTCACCTTCAAAAGGCTGCATCAGTCTCTGCGGGTAATGCAGGGGGAAAATACAGCTCTTGCACATAACTATCCTAGTATAGCTCGTTCGGGATCTTTGATAAATTTTGGCTGTAGAAAAATCAAACACAAAAATTTCAACCTAAATTCTGTTGGTAAAGGGCACTCGTTATAGCAGCACTAGTGCATAAGAATGGCCTATGTATTTATTTTTGCTAAGTTTCACTGTAGGAGGAACCTGACCTAAACGATGATCATTAACATAGAATCACAGAATCCTTTTGGTAGGAAAATACCTTGAAGATCATCAAGTCCAGATGTTAACCCAGCACTGCCAAATCCACCACTAAACCATATCCCTTAGCACCATATCTACACAGCTTTAAAATACCTCCAGGTCAGGTTAGTTTAAATAATTAGGGGTCATGAGAACATGATTGAAACATCAGCTATTATTACAAATAATCTTTCTCCTGTCAGCTCAACGTGCTTCTTTAGATATTTGGACTGAGAATCTCTAAGACTTAATGGAAATGCTTACTGGAAATACTTATGTGGAAATAAATATTTTATATTTAAATTATATTACATTAATATTTTATAATAATATTTTACATTTTAAAATACCACACTAAATAATTGAAAAGTTCACAAAAAGCACTGTCTTTAATGATACTTTTAAAACACTTGTATAGAGTTGATTTGCTCTAAGTAATTTTTCTGGAGTGGTTCATAACATTAATGATAAACAAAGATTAATTTTTATTCAGTTTCAGATTTTCTATGTTGAGATGCAGGGGGCAATGCTCTTACATCAGTGATTTTTGATCTAACACAGCTATAGCCTCCTGCTGCTTCCTTAATCAATTCTACCAGCTTACTTCACCATCTAATGCTTTTGAAAACATTTTTCTGCACCTGGGCTATTTTTATACATCTGTATTCAAATATATTTGCCCTTTGTTGTGTTATGCTCAGTTTGTTTGTTGATTACCACATTTCCCCTCTATTCTGCATTGGTGAGGCCACATCTGGAGTTTGTGTCAAGTTCTGGGCCCCTCAGTTCAAGAAGGACAGGGAACTGCTCGAAAGAGTCCAGCGCAGAGCTACAAAGATGATTAAGGGAGTGGAACATCTCCCTTGTGAGGAAAGGCTGAGGGAGCTGGCTCTCTTTAGCTTGGAGAAAAGGAGACTGAGGGGTGACCTCATCAATGTTTACAAATATGTAAGGGGTGAGTGTCAGGGAGATGGAGTTAGGCTTTTCTCAGTGATGACCAGTGATAGGACAAGGGGTAATGGGTGCAAATTGGAGCACAGGAGGTTCAAGGTGAATATCCGAAAAATTTTTTTTTACTGTAAGAGTGACAGAGCACTGGAACAGGCTGCCCAGGGAGGTTGTGGAGTCTGCTTCACTGGAGACATTCAAAACCCACCTGGATGAGTTCCTGTGTGATGTGCTCTGGGTGACCCTGGTCTGGCAGGGGGGGTTGGACTAGATGATCTTTTGAGGTCCCTTCCAACCCCTAGGATTCTATGATTCTATGATTATTCTGTGGTTCTAGCCCTACCAGGAACTTTATTCTCATGCAGTTAAAGATTAGTGTAATAATTGGATTTTGAACTGTTACAACAGGACTTTCACTGTAGACAATGTTAATATTCACATTACTATAAAATTGCTTGCACAGCTAAAAATTTTTATTAGCGTAGTGAAGATTGTACAAGCAACATTCCTGAAAGCCTTTTCTGTTTGTTTCTTTTATTCTGTCATTTCTGCCTTCCTTGGCAGTGATTCTTTTACAGTCTGAGGTTATTTACTAAATAGACAAGTGTGATTTATAGTTTTGCTGCGACACAGATCCACTTTTCTGTGTGTGAACAGGTATTTATGTATGTGATTCAGAAAGAGCTTATTTAGTTCGCTCTGTATGGTTCTCTGTTGTGGTGACCCCTCAATTTCTTAATAACTCCCATAGATGTGATAAATTCTCCGATTTACCAACATAGGTCATTCTTAATTTCAGGTAATACAACTTAACTTTTAAGGTTTATAGTAACTGTATTCCATTTATCCATCTACTTGTAATTGGTTTTAATTTGCAAAAAATATTTTAATAAGGTTCTTTATCTATCGTGGGAAAAAAATGGAAATAAATGATACATTTTCTATATGGAGTCATACAATGAATTCTGGAATATGACATTGAGTAGGAAATTATGTGTATGGGAAGTAAAATTCAGAAGTTTTTTGATTAATTCAGATGGAACTGCCTACATTATGTGGTTTCTGGAGGTGTACTGAGTCTTCCCTGTTTTTAAGAATGGGATCTTAATATCCATGCAATATTTAATCTTGAATTTGTAACCAAACAACTTAATGGCCAATCTGTCTCCAGTGACACACTGTCAGACCACCATTTCTGCTCTTATCTATGTTTTTTATTACTATATAAACCCTACAGAAAGATTGTTTAAATTGATTGCTTGTTAATTTCTTAACTTCTAGCCTTGTTATTTAAGTATCCTTTACAAAATTAAAACATTCAGGTGTTAGTGGAAAAAAGGTTTCATGCCAATATTAAGATAAATTACCTGGATTAAAAACCAAGCCTGACTCAACCATAGGAATCTATTATCTTGGAAAAGTCTGAAGGAAGACATTAGCTTTAATATATATATGAAGTTTATGAAAGGTAGGATTCTAACAGTGCAGGATATAGTATATTTTAATAAAGGTATTACAGCATCATGACTTGTCTGTAATTGATGGGAATATTTGGTTTAGTGAACACAGCCCAACTGCAGATATTTTAATGTGTGAAAGGGCTGCTAGGTGAGATTTTACCAGCCTAAGATTTCAGTTACAATTCAAAAAGTAAATTAAGAAATCCAGAAACAGAGGAGACATGCATTTAGCTTCTGACTGGAAGAGTTTGTTCTTTACACAGGATACTATTGAACTAATATAAGAATCTGTCCTCTGTATCAGATGGAGGAGGCTAAACACATGCAGTGAATGTATTAAAATAACCACTTGGGAAGTTGCAAATATATGAAAGCATATGATCACCAGTTGAATAAATTACGGGTTTTTACCCACAAAGCATCAACTCATTTTTCTCTCCTAATTTTATATTAAATTCTGGATTATTTAAAAATGTTCTTCAAAGAAGTAAGGACATATTTCCACCATTTTTTATAGTGGATAAGAAGAAAATACAGTTTTAGTCATTTAAATATATATCTGAAACTAAGCTCTTATCTATAATATAAAACTTGAAGGCTATCTGGAAAACAAATCCAATTATGGCTTCAGTGCTTGAGAGAGTTAAATCTGATTTAATTATTTCAAAATAAAATTACCTCATTCAACTTTTTATTGTTAAATATCTGCAGTTATTTTTATGACTATAAAAAAGAACAAGCTTGGAAGAGAAGCTCTCTTCATGGAGTTCACAGGAGCTTTTCAGCTCTTGAGGGAAATGTCTCCTTTGGAAAGACTGCTAGAGTGGAGGGCTAGATACTCAGAAATATGTATTCTTTTTCTAACTTTGAAAACAAAATTCCCCTGGTTAAATGAGTTTCTAACCACAAACTTTGAATTTTAATCAATTATGCTGAAGGCTTTTCCTGCTTCAAATATTGATCAAGTAGGTAATGATCACATTACAATAATAGTTAATTATTATTTCTTTTGAAAGTAGTGTAATTACAGCTTTGTGCAATTCGTATATATTCCAAAAGTGTCAGTGTATTTGCTGTTGGTTGTTTGAAGTATGTGCAAAAATAATGTGAGGAAGAGGATGTCAGCTCCCTTTCAGAGTCTGATGTAGAAAATGGGGTCATTTGTTTCTGTTGTTGCTGTCACTCGTGGGTGTTTGAAGTTAATCTCTGTGTGACTCATCAATCTTTTAAAGCATAGAATGCTATTTCAGCCAAATTATAATGGTCATATGATGCTTTATTAGTGTTTGAACCATAAAAGGCCTTTTAATATTTTGTTGAGATGTGTGTGGTAAGTATATTATCATTCAATTGTAGAGCAAAACAAGAGGTGCATTACATAAGATTATGGTTATGATTATTTTTACTGGTAATTTTATAACTGTTTTTTTTTGCTTGTGCTTCTTGCACAGGGAGTTGGCCTCTCAGTCCATGGACACTTCCGAGTTGCTACAGAAAAGACACTTTTTGCAATGCCAGAAACAGCAATAGGTAAGTATTTCAACAGCTTATCACTTGTTCATGTGTTTAAAGTTACACTGTCTGTGTCATCAGGATGAAATGTCTTTGACTGAAAGCAGTGGCAGTAATGAAAGAATTTGAAAAAGGAATTAGAGATCACCAGGTATGGAAAGTATTTTCTAATAAATTAATAGAAACTTGCCTGTATTATGGGAGGCTGATCACTGAGGTTCTTAACCTGGAGTTTACTCTTTAGAATGATACAGTCAAGATACTTTTTTTTTTTTTTTTTTTTTAAATGGAAGTAGATCTGAGGAACTGGAGTCTTTACTATAGATGTAGGCAGATAGTCTGAAGAGCCCAGTGCTGATATGTCAGTTTTTCATTTGGAACTCAGTGAGTCAAACTGCCTGTACTACAAACTGATCTATGGTGTTAAAGGGACAGATTTTGGAATTCCAGCTTTTATCATATTAATATGTTAATTAATATGTTAGTTTTCATATTGACATATTAATATCATGGATATTAATAGAGACCATTATAGTTGTGTACAGATGGTGGTATTTTTAAAATAGCAACATGTACTTTGTGTTTTTTGATATTTGATCCTACAGCTTTTAGTCAACTCTGAGATGTAAAAAAACAATGTGTCTCTCAGAGCTACATGAAGGTGGTGGTATGGCTCCAGAAAAGTCAGTCAGACTAAAATGAACCCTCTTGTGTCATCATTCATGTTTCTCTTCAAGACAATCCTGGCACCAACAGGGTATCCACACAGAGCCTATTATTGTCTGGCATATATACTCCATTTGTGCTTTCATTACTGTCCAAGTCCCTTTACAGTGTTTACAAAGAAACTATCCTTCATTTCCCTTCTGCAGAATTTCTAGTTTATACACAGAAAGGCAGGTGAAGGATTGGTTACATTGTTCTGATTTTTATGTCCTCAAGCAGGAGAATGAGGCAAGTCTGAAGTATGTGGTTCTGTTGAACACATCTGTTCAGAATAGAAAGCCTTATCTGGTGGTTTAACAGGTTAAATAGCACCAGCCCTGGTGCTCTTAGGTTCAGTCCTAGTTTCACCTCAAAGAATTAGTTAAGGAGTGGTGACCATTGTTTATTTCAAAGAATTTCCAAATAGTTACATAATGTTGAAACTAAGACATAATGTAAAAAAAATAATTGAAAAATCAGGACTCTGTTCGGAATAGAGAATAGAAGTTAAAATAATTCAGCTTTTGGTGAGACTGTTTTAAGTACAATAATGTCATTACAACTGAAGTTTAAATTCATGCTTAGATAATGATTGGATTTTTGTAGTGTCCCCTGCTAGTAATGCTTTTTCATATTTGTAAAGGGTGTCTTACGCATTATCTACTGTTTATTGTTATCCAGCCTGTATGAAGCATTTCACAAGGCTTATTCTGACATTCTTAAAGTATTATATGAGCTCTATCAAGTCAAATAAAACATAACAAACACCCCAAATATAAGCAAGCTCATTATAATTTTGAATCCTGAACACAAGATTAGAGCAATTCCTGCTAGCTGATAATGCCTGCAGTTTTTCTGAACACATAAGTTTGGGATGAGAAAAAAACTATTGCAACCCTCTAAATATTTTTCTCTGCTGAAGAAGAACGTAGTAAACTAGGTAACTCAAGTGTTAGTATTTTTCCCTGTTGAAGGAGAACATAGTAAAATAGATAACTCAAGTGTTAATAGAACATGAGTTTGCAAAACTCCTGAAGTTCATCATCAGATGTTAGAAAACCATTTGAAGGAAGCTACTGGGTTTTTTTTGAAAACTAAATAGGTAATGAAATTATTCTAATAATAAAGATACCTTCTTTGCTTCCTTATTTGAAGAGAAATATACAAGTAGTCTTATATGGAAAAAATACATATGCTTTACATGGATTCCTTGTGTCAACAAAGACTTATTTAAAGAAAAATAGACTGTGAAGACATATAAAGGAAAAGCTTGGAACTTGCATAGGCAAGGAAGTAATTAAAACCCTTTTAGGATCAGTTGGAAGTAAAACCTCTGAAATCTGTTTGGATTTAAGGGCATAACTGTTCTGATCTCTGTGCTGTATGTTTGAAATGTCTAGCTATCCAGATATGGTATTAATGGCTTTTTTTTCATATGTTTGCTTATTGCAGTAAGCATTACACCTTTTCTGTGACACGAAAACAAAGCACTCTTTCAGCTGGTACATTTTCACACAATTATTCTGCAGTTATACACCACCATGAACAAAAAGATATAGATAGATATGCCACTTTGCAAAAAGAGATAAAAGGCAGTTCTAGATTATAGGGTTGGAAACATCAATAAGATAAAGCACTGGAATGCAGTTTAGGTGTAAGAGGGTGTGGAAAAATCACTGATGGGAAGAACAAAAGATGAAAGCATATGACAAGAAGTGGGCTTGAAGGTAATGTTATAATAATAGTGGACACTTTCTTGTATGTCCCTCTATGTTTTTGTCTTCCTATAAGTCTTTTACTGATAAATCCCCAACCACCTCTGCACGATAAGGTAGGAATACAGTAGTGCTACCTTTATTTTATGCTTGGCAAAAGAGTTTCACAGTTGGGGTTACAGTGAAGTGTGTTGCATCCCTCTTGGAGCACAGACTGCAAGTCAGCATTGCAGGCATAGGCTCTTAACCTGGTCAGCCCAGCAGATATTCAGTTCTTATTCAAGTAGGGATTTGAGAATTAATATTCAGGGACCAGTAATTTTGCACATCTACTTGTAATAGGGTCTTTTTATAATACATGCATTGACTCTTTTGTGACTAAAAGCAATTACTGGTGAGTGAAAATTACCACCTACTGTCAGAACTCCATTTAAACTGCTTATGTACATCTTAATCTTCCCAGTGAATCTCTCTCCTTTGGCAAGTATTTACTGTTTCTTATTGCTCATTTGTATTATTTTAAAATTTATTTTAATGTGTCATTTGTACTCTGACAGTGAAAAAACCCAACACCACAGCTTTAATCTCTTAAAATATCATTCAGTTTAATTAATGCACCATTGGTGATTATTGAAGTAGTAATTGGACACTGCTTCTTTCCATTTTGATTTTGGAGATTGAGACAGCTAAGCTGAAGTTTTCTTAAGTATATTAAAAGTTAGAAAGTGTTTCAATTTATTTTGTAGGTAATGTATATAACACAGTAAGGTATCTATTAACTAAGTTTAATCATTTAAAATACCAACTTTGATAATAATAGTTGTATTTTTCAATAACAGCGTTTAGAAATCTTTTACATTTTATTCACAACTTTTTGTTTTCAAATATTATCCTTCTCTGTAGATTTAAAAAAATGTATATTAATGTAAGGCAGTCACTAAACTGGAAAGTTTTTAATTTTTCCAAAATGTAGGTTAGTCATAGAGCCAGGTAATAGGTCAGCATCTCATTCCTTCACCTTCAGGAAGCCCCTGGCAATATTATTGATCTCTTCTCAGCCCCCAAATTTGTTCAAACTTAGCCATGCAAGAGGTACTTCATCACTATTGGATATTTTTATTGTAATAAAAGATTTCAGAGTAAAAGCAGCATCCAGTTTGAGTTTGCACAAATTATTTCAAAATTCTTTGTGTCACTTCTGTTTTTTGCCAAGAGCAGACTTGATTCTTCAGGCATCTAAAAATGTCTCAGTTGTTGGCAAACAGAATGAACACTGTTGTCTGGTATATGTTTGTAAATCATGTGCCAGTGGAAAGGATACAGTTTGGAAAGTGATCAAGAGTTTGTTTTAAGGAAGAGTTTTGATGACAGAGAAATATCAAACCAAATCAAGGAGAAACTTGGGCAAGAGATCTGTGCCTAAGCCAGGGAGATGAAAGTGAGACAAGAAGAAATAGCAACTAAATTACATGCGTGGTTAGGACAGCTTCTTTAATTTTTATTTGTTTGTTTTATTCTGTTTATTACAGGCCTTTTTCCTGACGTAGGTGGAGGATATTTCTTGCCAAGACTATCAGGAAAGATGGGCTATTACCTTGCACTCACAGGGTTTAGGCTGAAAGGAAGAGATGTACTGAAAGCTGGCATTGCTACACATTTTGTAGAGTCTGAAAAGGTAAAGAGCTCACCAGCACCAGCAAGGGCACAGCCTGCAGCCTCAGTGACATGTCTGAGTTGTGTACCACAAGACACATTTATAAACTTGAGTGTATGCAGAGGTGCCATTACATGAGCTGGCCAGGCACTGTGAATGGGGTTTGTCTCAAGCTGTCATTTCAAAACTTGCCAGCTAGTGACAGCTTTGCTTAGAAGAGGGAGCAAATGTTGCTGTCTTCATGATTCAATTTTTGAAGGGCATGATTTACTGAGTATAACTGAAGTTGCTTGAAAAATGATACAATTTAGACAACAGTGCCTGCAATTAGAGAGTATTGATACATCTGCAAAGTTTTTAACCTAGGTAACACCCCATTAATCTATTCTTTATCAGTCTCCTTAACAGATAACCTGTTTCTTACAGTGACTAAAAAAGTGTAAAAATTAGTACATTTGATAAAGGCAGAGTCACACTGTTCCAGTAACCTGCATGGCCACAAGTGAAGGAGAAACAATGACTTGCTTTCTTTTCTGTGTGAAAACTCTAGAGCTGCTTAGCTAGTATTTTGAGCACAGCATGGTTGCCAGCCTCCTGCTGTTCCCTCTTGGACTGCTGTAGGCTGGCTATACCTGCAGCAGCCGTAGCACTGTTTTGGAGGTCTGTTTGGGAAGCAGAGTTCTTTGCTGATCACTGCAGACATAATTAAGTCTAGAAGGTTCAACATTGAAAAGTGAACTCTGGCTCTTTGTGTTTTTAATTTGGTACCTCTTTAAAACCTGTCCAGAAGTTGGGGGGTGGGGGCATGTTTATATACATACTATATAGTATCATAGAATGGTTTGAGTTGGAAGGCACCTTAAAGGTCATCTAGTTGCAACCTACCATAGCAGTAATAATCCAAGAAGTACATTTTGGTTTACATGATTTTAATGAAATCTTATTTTTAATAGCTACCTGCCTTAGAGAAAGACCTGATAGCACTGAAATCACCTTCAAAAGAAAACATTGCAGACTTACTGAACTCTTACCATGTGAAGGTAATCTGATCAGCTACTGAAATCAAGCAAAATTGTTACATATATGCAAATACAAATTCTTTTTTATCTATGCTACTGGTAATTTGGTCTATGGTTAAAAAATGATGAGTCTCCAAACTGCACTCCATAAAATACTAACTTGTAGCACTAATGCCTACAGTGGAAAAGTTCTAAATCTTTATTCAGTTTTTATTCATTTTTTATAACCCTGTAATTCCTGTTGTGATCAACTCTATGCATGTAAGTTTCCAGCCAGTAGCATGATGATGATGATGCAGAAAATATATTGCTGCTTTCTTTTTAACCCTGCTATTCTTGAATTTCTAACCCCTTTCAGCAAGCAAAACAGATAGCCACTAGCAGACTGGGAGTTGTACATCATGGCAGGTGCAATCTGGGGAGTTTGCCTGAAATTCAGGGATTCTGACAAACACAAACAGCAAGGTAGTACTGGCCTATTCCAAAGGCTGCAGATGTTACAGTGTCAATTATCAAATGCTACCCTGCTCACCTGGAAGTAGATGTTTTATTTCCAACCCAGAAATTCTCTCTTTATTGATCTGAAAAAATATTTTGCTAGCTTGATGCATTGGATATACATTGGAGCATTATTTTTAATGCAGACCATCTGCAGTCCACATTTGAAACCTGAATTTAAAGCCTTAGGTTGTTTCCTTAATTTTTCAAAGATTTGATATGTTTATAACCTTGAAATAATTGAAAGACTTTGAATAAGCACAGCAGTTATCAATAGGGTAAGTATTAGCAGAGTGCAAGTATGTTTTAGGAAAAGCACTTGAGGTCTTAAAGTAGTATTTTTTGGGGGAGAAAGGTGCTGTTTTCTAAGAGGACAAACCTGTAGTTTTCTGTTGTGACTTTGGAGGTGAATTCAACTGTATTGGTAATACAGAATTAGCATTTGTGTTAGCCCCATGTCACAGTGGGCGTGACATGAAAAGGTTTGGGCTTCACAGTCAGCTCATTCAGTGGCTATTTGAGCTGTTTAAGAAAGGAAGCCTCTGGAATCAAATAAAGATTAATTGATTCAGTCAATCACAGTATTACTCCCCAGTTGTTTGACTTTAAAATGAGCAGTGTTTTCTCTTGTTATTTCTGTTTTGGAATTACTAAGTTGACATATAAATATGAAAATAAATTAGAAAAATAAATGGGATAAGCTAATTTACATAGTAGTACTGATTATTTTGACAAAATAGCTATGCAATAGGAGTGCTTGTATGTTGCAGTATACTGCTTCACAAGAAGCCACTGACTGGAAAAGGGAGCTGTGTATTTTTAGTTATCTGAGCTGAAATGACAGGGGGCTTTTCTCAGCTTCAGCTGCTCTTGCTAAAACATCTGCTTATGTCCTAAACCCCTTAATACCTGAAAATCTGAAATGTTTGACAGCATTTCCACATCAGGTCAATAGATCTTTCACACACTTTAGTTCCCTAAATATATTTTTTTTTAATTACAGAAAAATATATTGAAGAGAAATGCAATTTTTGTTTTGTTGTTTTGCCTTTTTAAAAAAATACATATATACATGCATGTGTATTTTTAAAGAAAAAAAAGCATTCTCAGGTTTTTGAGTAGATTTTTCTACACTGACTTTCTTAGTGCATTTGATAGATGTGTCTTGATAGCATAATCATGATTACTTGTGTACAAGATAACCACCCAGTCAAACATACATACCTAGTAGCTCAGAGCAAGCACTGCATTATGAGGTGACATCTTTAACATTCACAAGATGCAGTGACATGTTCATTATAAATTCTGCAAAATTGTAATTCATTAAAATTGTCAGGGTCTTAGGAATATTGAATGTTCATTTATGGTATTAAATTTCTGTAACACAAGTCACTGATGTTTTCACTACTAATAAGCTTTTTAGTCTAAAATAACCAAGTATGTATTTGCTTTTTAAATAGAGCAAAGTTGACCAGGAAAAGAACTTTGTACTTGATGAACATATGGAGAAGATTAACAGGTATTCAGCAATTTTTCTTCTTTGTTATTCTTTTGGATAGAGAACATGAAGTAACAGTATCAGTGTTCCACAAATAAGGTTATAAAAATGACATTCAAGTTAGCAATTAAAAGTCTTTTTGTCTTCAGGGGGCTTTATCTGAAGCTCATTCAATATTTCCCTCATAAGTATATTAAATACTTGAGTATATTTGCCTGATTCATACAACATTCTATTAAGCAACTACCCTGTGGCACATTAAAATAAACTTTTCCTAAAGAAATTGAATGGGGATCTGTGAGAGTAATTGGACAGAAAATGTTACTTGGGGCATTTATACTCATTGATATAAGGCCATTTCTGTTATTGTTTGGAACTTCCATGTATTGAAAAGGGAAGGAGAAATAAATGAGGATAAGAAGCAGCTAAAAATTTAGAAGGATGGCAGTAACTGAATTTAGAAACAGGAGATGTTTACACCAAACCCATGGAATGGAGCTGATAGCTGAAGATTCCATGGGTTCTAAAAATACAGATAAGACTGATGGTAGTAATCAAAGTTTCTGGATAAATACCAGAACTTGTAAGTGAGATTTATCACAGTGCTAGAGATCTGTAAAGGAAGAGGAGATGCCTGTGAACTGACTTGCTTAAAACTGAACCACAGAGAACACATAAAAAAAAAAAAAAAAAAAAGCAACATCACCCAGTCACATTCTGTTTCTAATTTCTTTGTGACTCCAGCACTTCATAGAGAAGAGCAAGGCTGACACAGTTCATATTTTTTTTTCTCTTAGTCTTTTTTCAGCAGATAGTATGGAAGAAATTGTTAAAAAATTAAAGCAAGATGGTTCTCCTTTTGCCACTAAGCAGCTAGAGGTAATGTCTTCTATGTGATTTTTGTTAGAGATTTTAAATTTGGTTCTGTACTTTCTTATAATGGGACAGACTTTAGCATCTTACTATATTAACATAACTAATACTACTAACTCCAGTAGGAGATCCTCAGATTCTCATATATAGTCCTTTGGTATTGTCAGTAGTTCTACTCAGACAAGAATAGTCCTCTGTAAAACCACATGATGTGAATACCATCATATGTTGCATGTGATTGTAACCTAATAAAAACCAACCAACCAAACACCCTTTCCCCCTCTCCAGGATCAGGTGGCTGTTGGTGACAGTTTCCTTAGGTTGGAATAAAACTGCCAGAACAGTGTTGTGCATTTTCTTTTGTTCCAGATATCTCATCTGGGTAAAGAGCAAGCAATTTGTCATCACAAAGTATTATTTGACCTTTTTAATGCATTTCTGAATATTGGATGTAGTCACTACTCAAAACACACACAGTAACACTACACACTTAATGCAAAATTCAGCCTCAAAAGCAAGAAGCAGCTTAAATTTATTTACAAGTAATGTGTGTCTTTCCTTTTTTTCCTTTGAAGTATCTGTATTCAGGTGCCTTGTAAAAGTTTGTCTTGGAGCTATTCAGGTGTCACTCAGTTGGATAGAACACAAGAATTTCTCCAGCAAAACCTTTGTTTTAACGTTGTTTATTGCTCACAGAAGAAATCCTGCTCTTGTAATGAAATAAAACATCATCTTTGGACTTTCATTTGAACAGAACTGTCATTAACATTAGGCATCCTGTCCCAGATAGAGACACATTTTTGGTTCATTTTTTTCTTAAAGGTTTAACATTTTGTCACCAGAACCCTCAAACAGTTTGTGTGAAAGGAAGTTTTAAAAATTATTTTAGTGCCAACCAGTACACTTGTACACTCTAAAACATTTAGCATATGCATGCAAAACTGAAAGGGGTAGGTAGTATTTTTTTCTCTACTTGTATTCAAGTTTCATTGAATAAAGCAGTCAAATGAGCTAGTGCCAGAATAATAATTTCATGTCTCTGTAGAGCTAAATTCTACCACAGCTACCATAGTGGTTTCACCTGAACTACACAGGCTCTGAGATTTCCTTCACTTTTTCCTTATGTTCCAGGTGGCTGGGGAAGTAGTTACAGTAAGGTCTATTGAGACAGTTTAGTAGCATGTTAATAGCAGTTACTTTTGGTGGCTCTTCTTTCTTTATGGTATTTCTAGATTTTATGAAGTTCAATATAATTCTGCAGGGATATTACATTGATTAGCTGCAGTGGAGGTTGAAAGTAATCAAGAATTATTTATATATAGTTCTTCCTAAGCTAATTTCATACAACTTTATCGTACTTTAAGACACAATCAGAGCCTTGTGGAGCTTTTAAAAATACCACATGGTCTTTAAAGGGTGCTTTGTTCAAAAGAGTTTCTACTACAAAAGATGGAAGGAGTCTGGAAACACTGTGTTACTGAAATGCAATAACTAGATTGTTGTGCCACATTTGCTCCAGTTACCCAGACCTGCTCAATTTGCTTCCTTCATCTGCAGCCCCAAAACTCAGATCTCCCATATTTAAAAAACAAAACAACAAACAGATACATTTCATGTTCCATGTTATTTGGGGGAAGGAGGCCAGGAGAGGGTACGTTTGTTTCATATTTTTAATTCAGAGCTTTAAAACTATATAATATACATAAAAGTTAAGATTTTGTGTAACTGATTTTTCTTTAATCCCTTAAAAAATGTTATTTTGTTGCTGCATCAGTTTTCTTATTTAGCATCTTTAATAAGACTTTATAGCAGCTTTTTTCTTTGATATGATTAGTAAATGAAAGACCATCCTTGGAGGAGACAGAAGTTCCTCAATAATTGCCTCTTGTCTGCTCTGTTCAAGAGATGAGGTTGTGTTAATATGAATTGCTTCTGTCCATATGGAAATTTGTGAGTTAAAAAAAAAACCAACAAACACCCAACAGTTTCTAGCAGGAACAAGACTTATTAGTGTGACCATGTATTTAAGTTTCAGACAAGTTTCTAAGAGCACCCATTATGTGCAGAGCAGTAAGTGAGCTTGTAGGATCAGATACTTAATTTCCTCTGTGACAAGAGCCACAAAACTGAAGAAGGACAATGCATTTCTGGGAGGGAAAAGTTAAAAATAGATTGAGGTATAAATCTGGTTTTCTCCATGAAATGCTTGCCAGTTGAAGTGGAGGTTTTGTTTTACTAGGAAAGCAGAATTGTAATTAATTGTAGCTGGAGGAAGAATGGCAACTCGCACTCTGGCAGTTGGGCATTTTATACCACCTAGAGACAGAGCCCTGGCCTGCTGTCACTTTGCTGGGAGGAGCAGAGCTCAAAGAACTGGACAGAGCAGGGAACACGTAGTGTAAGATTATCAGACGTTATCCTTTATAGCAGTTTGCTATCCCCCCACAAGCATCCTAAGCAGCTCAGGTCAGAAACTTCAGTGAACCTTGGAGGCAAAAGATGCAGCCACTTTCCCAGCTGTTAGTCTTGTAAGGAGCTTCATTCAGTGCCACTTAATTTGGTCACCTCCTGTTAGTATCTTACTGGAATTTGGGTTTACTGCAAATTCAGCTTGTAGCTTTCAGGATCATTATGTTGAAATCAAGATGATCTCAAAGGTACTGGAACAGATACAAAATACTTCTATGAGGATTTCTTTGCATTTTAATACTCACTTCAGCCTATCCTGTCTGCTTTTCAGGCTTGTTCCTTAGCACTGATCCTTTCCTCCTCTTTGTAGAGAGGATTTATTTATAGATACACCAGTGACTCATTTTTCTGCAATTACACCTACCCATTTTCTTTCCTTGTTCCTCTTCCTTCAGCTTGATTTATGACAGTGCCTCCTCCACCTTCAACCTCATTGATATGCCAAGATGAGGTAGCTGCTGGATGCACTAGGCTAGTTAAGTGCTGTTCTCACGTCTTCCCTGTTTCAGTGCTTTCTTTGACCAGAAAGAACTCGCCATTACCATTTCACCTAGGGAACCATCTGGTTACACTCCGTGCATCCCATTTAACCTGGCTTAAGCAAAGGATTTTCTAATCTAGATGACAGAATGGGAAACTCAATGGAGAAAATGTTTAGTTCAAAGGTAGAGCCAGCAAGAGCACATGATGGGAATTAAGGGGTCCAGTTTAGAGTTGCCATTCACTGAGACCTAGATAGTGATGTAATTAGAGGTATAACTGTTTCTTTATCTGCTGAAAGGTAGCTTGTTGTTAGAGAACTTGGATCAGACAGAACTCAGGAAACACTGTCAGTTTGAACCAGCGTTAGTTCTATCTAAACAAGCTTCTCTCTCAAGCAAAGTGGTCAACATGCAAATAACAGAATGACAGAACCAGTGCTTTTAAGGTACAGTTGCACAGCCTCCTGCTTGTATAGCAACTGCATGTTTTCCAGCTTAACTAGACAAAGTGGGTCACTGCTGTATCAGCTGGTGTCTGGAGAGGGATAAAGAGTAACTGGAAGCCAGAGAAAACGTTAGTGTTGATGAGTGGAAACCTGCCATTTCAGTCTGTGGGTAAGGAATTCAGTGTCTGCAATGAAAATAATGTAAAGAGGCAAATCTCACCATCTGCCACTCTTCAGTAGTGGTGAAAATGTCCTAATTTACAGGAAATGGCTATTGTACTGTGAATAATGGAGCTTTTAGTTGGGTTTACAGGGGAAGAAGACTCTTGTTTAGAGTAAGACAACAAAGATAAGCAACAGTAAGACTTAGCTCCTTTCCCCCACAACCCTGAAAGCCTTAAAATTCAGTTCTGTTTTCTGAAGTAGGTTTTTGTCTCTGGCCACCTCCCCCTACAGTTCACTGGCATGCTGTTTATTAAAGGATAGTCATGAGAGCCAGATTTACAGCATTTGTGTGCCTTAAACAGATCATGTCCATTGCATAATATTTATAGCTTGCAGTTCCATCAAAAAAAGGAAGGCAACACCTCCAAGGCTTCCTGTCAGCAGGGCAATGCAGGGCTAAATTACTGCAGCATCTGCTGATCCCAGACAAGAAGTCTGCACAAATGTGTGTCCATGTTTGATTTCTTTTATTTTTTTTTTCTTCCACAGTTTTCCTCTTAGTATATTTTCTGGTTTTTGCAAATGATCATGAAGTAGCTATTTAAGTTTGTGGCTAAGCTCACTACTATTACCTTACTACTCTGAGCATTGTACCAAATAAAAATAAGATGCTGTATTATAGTAGTACCAGCTACAATATCAGTATTGTCTTAAAGCAATTCAGACTAGATATATGATACTAAAAAAATGGAGTAAAATTGCTTGTAACATTCGT